GCCTTCAGAGTCTTAGTCCACCCACCAGCGATCCATATGTCAACATTTTTCTTCAGACGCAGGTGGATAGCCATAAGGTCATTTTGAGGTTAAATCCCCAGTAATTTTTCACACTAATTTTATGATATAGTGAAAATTAATTGAGTAGTTCAATACTCAAATAGTTTACAAATGTATTAAATTAGGTTGTGACGAATAAGAACAATGATTGACACCTTATGTGTCTTGTTTTGTCAAATACATGAAAAATGTACTTTTTTAATATATTAAACAAATCATACAAACATCTCTATTATTATCAAGCAAATTACTCTTGAAAATACACAACAATAAAACCATTATTAAATTTGGTTGTAAGAAACGCGGCCAGGAATAGAACAGAGCTTTATCATGGATACCAAAAACAAAACAATTTCTTTATTTTAATTAATTAAGGTTTAAAATTCTTCTTAATTTCTTTAATACTTCATTAATTTACTTTTAAAATCTAGCTAATTTGTCGTATTGATTTGTGAAACGTGGTGTAATTGTTGAGTAGATAGGCATTCAAATTCGGTCAAACTTTCCTTAAATTCGGTTAACTTTGTCTCCGATGAATTGGTCCCCAGAAAACGCTTTTACTTTGTGATGGAAAATACGTAAACATATTTTCTTTATACAAAATTTCGCTAATTGTCATACAAATCTTACGAAACTTGGCATAATAGTTAGGCAGTTAAAAGTTAAAATTATAATAAAGTTGGCTGTGATAAATTCGTTCCTATAGCAATAATAATATCCAAAGGCACGTAAAGCACCGACTTTCTTTAATACTTCTGATTATTCAAATAAATCTTATAAAATTTACCAGTTCTGAGAAGTTGAGCCTTTAAAAATACTCTTTTTTTTTTCTTTTTTTTTGTTTTTTTTTATTATTCAAATCTTTTTTTTTTTTTCTTTTTATTGTATATTACAACTACCTGCATTTTGGTATCTAGTAATAATGTATGAATAAATATTAAGAAAAACAAGAGTGGAGAAACTACCCACCGGTAGTACTCCTAACTATTCTTTATTCAATTGTCACTGGATAGAAGATCCCGTGGCCATCGTCTTTTTAGTCGGCGAAGAGGGTTGGAAGGAATTCGTCGGGATGAGAGGATTTGAATTTGAGGATTTATAGTGGTTGGGAGGTTTGTGAAAAATTTTTGGTAACGGGAGTGGGTTACATCTTGGACAAAAGGAATATCTAGGTCTTTATGGGTAGTGTCGTTGGACACATAAAAGGGAGCATTAAGGATTTTTCTGAGGATGATGGATTGGGCTCTTTGGATGCGTAGGATATTGGAATGTTTGGCTGAACCCCACACTTCCAGTCCATAAGTCCATATTGGCTTCAAAAGGGTGATATAAAGTAGTCTTTTGTTTAAGAGAGGTAGGTTAGAACGTCTGTCAAGAAGTCGTGAAAGTGCTCTGTAACGTTTCATAAAACCAGCCTCGGTAGCGCAGTAGGCAGCGCGTAAGTCTCATAAAAATACTCATATGTTTATGAAATTTGACTGTAAAAAATTGGCCTCTGGGCCACCACAGATGAATTTTTCTTTAATCTGTCCTTAATCTAAACAATGAATTATTAATTTTAAAAAATCTTATCTCAACTTAATAAGTTAGTACTTTAATCAATGAGAAGTGAAGCATTGAAAAATATTGAGAAGTTTATTCAATTTTTTTGTAACGATTCAGTTCTTTTGCTTTGTAATGGACATTATCATTTTTATCTTTCCAATGAGTGACATGAAATTTTACGAAATTTCGCTCAGGATTCTAAATCGAAATTATTTTGTTAGGTCCACCATAAAATAAATATAATTTATTCTCTTGCTCGTGTGTTATATTGGTTAGTTAAGCATTAAAGTTATCATTTAAAAATTATACAATTTAGATACTGAAAAATTCTCCATGGCTTTCGTTAATTCGTTTTTAATAGGCCCATTATATAATATTATATTTATATACTTTCTTAATATTTATATTATGTATATATGATTACTTTGTCAAGTTAGCACATAAATTCATTTAATTCAATGCGCGCCATACTTGAACTTTGCCTAGACAAAGTCTAGGCTACTTGGGGCAGCTTCAACAATTTCTCTCGACGACATTAATATATTGAAACTATATTCAAAAGTACTATTAAAAAAATATGTACTGCTGCTTAGCAGGGCTTTTTTTATTAGTGGAATATATTAAATATTACGTCATACGACCCATTTGCCTAAAAAGGAAATGAAATTTTGCTGGAAATCAAGCAGATGTAATAAACTCGGACATTTTAATATTTGCTATTCTGCTGTGGTAGCTTAAATAATAACGATAAGTCCTGTATTAAGTAACTTTCCATTAATAAGAATAAATTGAAAGTCTGAAGATTTTTTTGTGCAGCTTAGAGAAGATAATTAAAATAGTTAATTTTTTTTATATTTAAACCGGCTTTAATTAAATATTGCTAATTAAAGTACGAAGTATAAAACTATTAAGCATATTTGTATCAATGCGTAGAGTAGTGTAATTAATAATAACAACCAAAATTTAATTTTTCTTCTGAACCAAGTTTATCATAATTGCCTTCTTTGAAAGTTTGCGTCTGTTCTAAAGTTTTTATGTATTCTTTAATAAATATAAAAGAGTATAAATGTTGATAACAGGTTTGCGAATTGTTGACACAAATTGCATTGCAAGAGGTGTTAAAAAAGAAACGCAAACCTTGAAATTTCAGCCAAAAGAGAATGTAAAAGCTACTTTGCGGATATAATTTAAATAACTGAATCACCGCTGCGTGAGAAATGTATTTTAAACGTTTCTATTACGTATTACATTACTCGCCTGTTACGATTTCACGGGTTGTTTTGAAACAATCCATTGTCTACAATAAAAATACGTGTCGGAAGTTCGTTCTAATTAGACTTCACCGGCCCAGAATGACAATTATTTCATAAAAATTAATTTTACGTGGTCGTAATTAAACTTTTATACGTGAGAAAGAAAGAGTAGCTTACGTAGGTATGGATGAGCTGTTTATCTGCTTTCTTCCTTGAAACGAAAACCGTTTTTCCAACGTTACTCGACAAAAGGTTTGCTTAAGCAGCGGACTTACCCAATGTGAATACTTTCCCTTGTTTGCTCTTGTGCCGAAATGCAATCTTAAATCTGATTGGAACCTCCTGGGTTTCGAACAGTAAAGGCACGAACGTAATATAAATCATGACCAACATTCATTCCTATTTATTGTAATATTACCTCCAATTAGAGACCAAGAAAAGCATTCTTATTACCTCTTAAGTCTTATTCTTGCTGATTTGTTCCTATAATAAGTCTTCCTCGGGAGTAGAATCGTTTTGCGTTTACAGATTTGGCTGGAAATAACACAATGCCATAACTCGCCGCACCTTCCGATCTTTCCCAACATGTCTTAACATCATTTACATAATGAAAAAAGGCACAAACACCAGCATGAAATTGCCTGTTTGGCAACGTGCATTCAATTGTCTATTCTTTTTTTTAACCGCTTAAAACAATTAAAAAATGCCATCACCAAGAACTGACAAATCAAACATTTTTCCATTAGCGCAAAAGTTTCGAAAATAAAAACCCCACAGATAAAAAATTAAAAACATATCAAAATAAAAAAAATTAAATCATTTTTAAATAAAAACATACATAACTAAAATTCTGATAGAAAATAAAAACAATATTAACCAATTTTATCAATTCCAAGACAATCTATTTTTAAATAGGCAAAGTTCTGAAGAAACTGAATACTTCATAAACGGAATGGATTAAATTGTATTTAAGCTAATCCTAATTTGTACGTCACCTCTTGGCGTGTAACCGAACTAAGTAGTTCCGAAACTCGACGCTGTTAACGATATTCTAGAGTAACATAGTTTAACGATAATTAATTAAACATAATAATTATAAAAGTTAATTATAGTACTTATGTTTCGCTTATTGCCTTATCGTAGTGTGGACTTTTATGGTTGGTTTGTGATGATAAAATCTAAAACGTTATTTCTTTACACGGCCATCATGATTGATAATCTTCAGGGTACTTGCTGTACTCTCATTTTCATTTATCTTCTCATTTTAATTATTTTTTAATTTTTAAATTGTTGTTGATACTGTTATATTTTTATTACGGTATGGTACATTAACCATGTATGTGAATTGGCTTTTTTGTTATTCTTATGACAAAATGTCCTTATTGAAGGTCCTTACTGAGGAAATTTTTTATCACAATTCTTTCAATATAAAAGAATATGAGTAAAATTCTTTCTTATAGCAGACCTGTAAAGGGACTTGTCGCACCGGCCTAAATGAATTGATAATAAACAATATTAAAAATTCTTAATTCTGATCATGTCGATTTTATGTTTTTTAAAACATTTTTACACAACATTTTTACCTTTAATCTTTCATCGTATTTCGCATAGTTTCGATTTACTGACATTTTGTTTTCATTTTTATTTTATACCTTTTTGACATTCTTGACCTTTCTTCTTTACTTTTTAGATGTGTTTTTATTTTCTATTACTATCTGCCCTCGCACTCTCTCTTTGTTTATCACTTTGTTTTATCCCATCTACATTAAATATTTTCTCTCTCTCTCACTCCCTCTCTCTCGCCCTCTCTCTCCCTCTCTCTCTCTCTCTCTCCATCTCTATCTCTCTCTTTCCTTCTTTCTCTTTCTCTCACTCGCCCTCCCTCCCTCTGTCTCTCTCTCTCTCATTATTCTCATATCAAATAACATCACAATAAACAATCTAAAATCGAATCCTTATTTAGTGTTAATTTATGAAAAAATAATTAGTAAGTGTATGATCATAGCACATGGCAAAAAATCACCCAAAATATACTTTTATAACATGATAAAACCTTTTTTTTTTATTGAAATTGTGAACTAAATATGAAACATATGATTGTGAAAAAGGATAAATCAGTAAATAAATTAATAAATAAAACAATTCGGTGTCCAAACAAACAAGTGTATTTAACAAATGTATATATTTATATTATAAAAAACCTATTCAAACAAATACAAAAGACGGTGATTTAAATATACATAAAAAATGTACAAATATTTATATTTTCTGAGGAGTTGTGTGGATGGTGCGCCGATTGATGGGGTTGAATAATTTTGATATGTTTTATGTCACTTCTCAAGTTTACTTCTTCAAGTGTCCGCTGGAATATAAAGGTTAAAAAATTAATCGGTAATTAAGGGACTACACTAATCATCATCATCATTGATTTACCAGGAGGGGACGTGTTCGGCCTCCTCGCAAGTGAGGGAGTTTTCGTCCAAGTATTTGCCCTCTTCGCAGGTGATCAACCTCGGGAATCCGTTGACGCAGGTGACAAGGTGCTGGCAATCACCGGGGATGGCGTAGCGAGGGTACGGGTGGAACCTGGCGGAGACGGAATGAGGGTCGACTTTGTCGGGGCACTTGAATCCGACAACAGCTGAAAGAAATAAAAAAAAATTAAATAAAGAAACTACACAAGAGATAACAATGACGTTGAGACTACAAAGTACAATAAATGGGCACTAACAAAAGTAATAATCCATTTAAACATCAGAACTGAAAATTTGAACAAATTTCTTTTTTTTTCTGCTAATAATCAACCCTCTATAAGATGATCTGGTAATAATAAGGTCCTTGTTACAGCAAAACCTCAAGTAAGAAATAATAAGCTTCTTAAATAAGATAATAAGATAGATAAGATATAATAAAGTTCTTATTAAATAAGGTCCTTAAATAACAAAGAATATGACTCCTAGTTAGAGAAAGCCTTTTTTAAAGAATATAATTATTAAAGGAGATCTTGAAAAAAATAAGTCTAAGTTACGAAAGAAAATCTTTCAATAAGAATGGATAAGAGCCTTATTAAAAAGGATTGTTAAATAAAACAGGATGAGGTGCTTCAATAAGATGGAATAGAGACGGACCTTAAATAAAAAAGAATAAAGTCCTTATTGAAGAACGTCCTTATTAAAAAAGTGCCTAAGAAATTTCTTATTACAGAAGGTTTTTATTAAATAAAAGTCCTTTTTAGAGATTATCCTTAAATGAGAATGAGTTAGGTCTTTATTACAAATATTCCTTGTTACAGATGGTGTTTATTAAAGAAAGTTATTACTGAATAAAATCCTAAGTCAAGAAGGAAGTTCTTTTTTATGAAAAACTTTGTTGTAAAAAATTCGTTGTTCTTCTTCTTAGAAGGTTCTTTAAAAAAATAAAAAGTTCCTAATTGAAGAAGATCTTTATTATAGAAATTATTGATTACGGAATGTTCTTATATAAAAAAGTCTTTATTAAAGAAAATTCTTATTTAAATAAAAGTATATAAACAAGAAAGTCCTTTTTAAATAAAGTCCTTCATAAGAATGGTCTTATTAACAAAAGTTTCTTATTAAACAAGGATCTTATTAAAATATGTCTTTATTGAAGAAAGTACTTATTGAAAAGCTTCCTTGAGCAAAAAAGAATACGGTCCTAATTGAATGAGGTCCTTATCTGAGAAAATCCTTCTTGAATAAGATACTTATTAGAGAAGGTACTTATTTATTAACACCCTTATTACATAGGGTCTTTATTGCAGAAGATTCTTATTAATATATGTCTTTTTGGAAGAAAATACTTATTGAAAAGGTTCCTTAAATAAGAGACAATAAGGTCCTAATTGAATGAGGTCCTTATCTGAGAAGATCCTTCTTGAATAAGATACTTATTAGAGAAGGTATTTATTTAATTAGGCCCTTATTGCATAAGGTCTTCATTGAAGAAGGTCTTTATTGCTGAAGGTTTTTATTAAAATCTGTCTTTATGGAAGAAAATACTTATTGAAAAGGTTCCTTTAATAAGAAACAATAAGGTCCTTATCAGAGGAGATTCTTCTTGAATAACATGCTTATTAAAGAAGGTAGTTATTTAATAAGACCCTTATTGCACAAGGCCTTTATTGAAGAAGGTCTTTACTGCAGAAGGTTCTTATTAATAGAGAAAATAACAGTTGTAGTTTATTGAAGAATATCGTCATTTAAGAAGTTCCTTAAAAAGGAAATAATAAGGTCCTTCTTGATTGGGCTAATTAAATAAGAAAAAGTAAGATCTTTATTGAAAAAGATCCTTATTGAAGATGGCTTATTACAGTTCTTAACAAAGACATTCTATGATACTGAAAGTCTTTATCTAAAAAATGTATTAAAGAAGGTCCTTAGTGAAGAAGGTCCTTATAGCATAAAGTCGTCCATAAATAAGTAAGACTAAGGTCCTTATTAAAAAAAGGTTTTTATTAAAGAAGTTCCATAGTAGCAGCGCTGCCAGTACTGTTAGTGCTGTGACAGTGTAAGGAAAAAGTTTTGTGATTACATTTGTAATATGTACTAATATCTATAGGGTGAAAATAAAATAATTAAAAAATTAGTATATGAAGAAGTTGTTAGCATTTTCTTCAAATTAACGAATTATTGGAAAATCAATACTGTTTTCAACCCAGTACATATTTATTAGCCAATTCAGCTAAGTCTGATTAGAATATTAGTGAAATTATTAAGAATCTCAGAAATTTAAGTCACCAGAAAGACAAAAATGCAAAAAACACCAACATGTTATAATAAAAACACTTGTTTAGATAATAACCAATTAGAATAACTATATACTATAATGCTAACCATATTGTTTATGGAGAGGTTACATACGGTTCATGATAAATTTATTTTAAAAAATAATAGAAATATCTTCGATTTCTTAAATAGTGTTTCATCATTATTTAAATTCTGTTGTTTGATCGTTTGTAGTTCATGGACATTTCAGAAAAAATATGCAACAGATATGATAATATGTGTATCATGTAAAAAGCAATTGATTGAGAATGAATAAAAAAGAGGCATGAGAATAGGTAAAACTGCTTAATGTCCTGAAAGAAAATTGAAAAACAAAACGTAAAAATAAAATAAATAACTTTATGATTTCTCCGCAAAATGCAGAGTGATGAACCTATAATTGTCTTTTTCGACCATCCTGATCTCCTTGTCCTATCTAGTCGTCATATTTAGTGATGGGATTGTAGATGCAGACCAGGAAGATAGAAATGGATCAACTTAAAAGAAATTGGTATGGTGGTTAGTGACCGTTAATCGATAATTATTCAGAAATCGTGAGATGCGGTCTGGTGTGATGTAGGTTTCAGAAAAACATTTTCTTTATCGTGCCAACGTTTCGATCTTTATTGAGATCATCTTCAGGGCTCAAAGTGTTTGTCTTCTGTGTAATTGTGCCTCACGATTTCTGAATAATTAAAAGAAATTATTGCAAATTTACGATAAATTATAATTTTGCACCTTCGGGGTTGCATTGGTCGAGGAGAAGATCGGGCCAGTTGCAGGAGTGGGTTTTGTCATCGTATGCGAGACCGGGGTCGCAGTGGTTCAAGTAAGGATATCCATCAGCACATTTGACGTAGTTCGTAGAGCAGTGAGGACCTTCGGGGTAGATTCCGTATTTGTACTCGCAGCCGGGAGAGCTGAGAGGCACCACTGTCAGAGAAAAAAAAATTAGTCGATTCGATAAAAGACCTAATATTTAACACTTACAGACTGCTTTCCTGGGTCCGCAATCGACAGCCCAGTGGTAGTTGCAGTGGTTGTGAACGTTTCCTTTGCCGTCGAAGAGAAGTCCGTTTTCACACTGCTCCAGTGTCAAAGTGCCGTTGGTGCAGAGGAAGAAGTGGTCGCAGGCTTCAGGATGGGCGTACGCCTGTACACCGTGTTGTTCGGGGCATCCCGGTCCGTCCAACACCGGTACTCCCAAAACTGCCGAGAAAAAACGAAATATTAAAAAAGATACTACTACCAGGAAACATTTCCTCTCTGAAAATTTTTCTCATGCGAATTTGCTAACGGTCATCGACTTATAGTTTCAAAACTACAGCCTATTTAAGTTTGCTCATTGCCATAAATTATAAATTGTAGTCTATGATCATTTTTGCTTCCCTAATGTGAAGATTAATTTTAAATCATTGCATAGATCATATCTGCTCTCTATATAAAACTTTTTGTATAGAAAACTAAAGCCAAATTCTCCTGGAAGTTTGACCATATCCATTGCCCGAATATGTGTCACGGCATGTAACGCGTTTCATAATTGCGTTACGTGTGTCCCATGTAACTCGAGCCGGTCCCTTATTTCTCATTTCGATTTCCCCCCGCTCCGGATCACCTTGGGTTCCCTTCCTGAGCGGATTGACCAGGAAATGGCAAGGTCGACGGCGTCCTTCGCGTCCTTCTCATAACGGTGTTTACCGCCACCCTCGACAACACAATAATTCACGCGGCCTAAGAAGATATCATTTTAAGAGACTTTTTTGACTGCTTTCCATCATTATAGAATAAGGTCAATTAAGTATGAAGAAACAGTTGGACACACTGAAATGAAGTCCAGCCGGCACTGTCTGAAAACTTGGTCTTCTATCTGCCTTCCATCCATATTTTGAGAACTTGATTATTTTTTTATTCACTCTGTATATATTGTTCAATTGTATTACCTACTTATAAACTGGAATCGAATGACTTTTAATTTAGTACTAGTTCTGAGATATGTATAACTAATCCCCAGTTTAATATGTGATAGTTGGATGAAACATGAGATATGTGAATTATTTATAAACTGATATACCTTTAAAATAACCTATGTGTAATTATATTTTAATTAATTCTCTCATTGCTTAACTTTTCAGTAAACATGACGTTCGCAAGTTGTTTTACATTGAGCAGTAATGGCGGGCTACCGACAATGGAGTCATATCAGAACCTCTCACTTGCTCATTCCACAAACAAATACACACTAGAACTACAGAATATTATATATAATATTTATAATATGTACAGATGGAAAAACATTCCTGTTTCCCTTTAAAATCGAAACAGAGTACTCAACAACCCACTCTAGTGCTCAAAGACTGTCTTTATGTCGGGTGCCATGTATACTCGCTCCCTATAAGGGACACCTCGACCATATGTGGCACACTGATCAACCTTTCTCTTCAAGTCATACCTTGCACGGGATTTGCTCCTAAAACAGGTGTCCGGGTACCCTGACGACCACCACCATTTTTCCGAGGTGCTCTAACTCCGCACATCTCTCTAATAATAGCACGACGAGACAGTTCACCGAGAATTTTCACGAATAGCCGAAACAGCGCTCAGGGAATTTTAAAATAGGCACAGCCTCCTTCGTCTCCAATCACTCCGAGCGCGTGCCAAATCGCATACATCTCCGCAGTATGTCGTGTGTCTGAGCCTGGACGAGCCTCCATTAGTTCCAAAAATTAGTAAACATGATTACATTTACTTTTATGTTGTGCCTTTGATTGAATGCGCAAGTTAGAATATCTCAATATCTCAACCCAACTTTGACCAATTGTGTGTGTGTGTGTGTGTGTGTGTGTGTGTGTGTGTGTGTGTGTGTGTGTGTGTGTGTGTGAAAGAGAGAGAGACAGACAGACAGACAAATAGGCAGACAGACAGAGGGAGATAGAGAGACTGTGAAATTGTAAAGTAAGTAAGAGTGTGAGCGTTAACTTATCGCTTCTGCGTGCGTGCGTGCGTGTGTATGAGTGTGTTTGTAAAAGTGCTACTAATTTCAGTTCAGTGTGAATGAGGATGAAAGTCTTATTAGTGAGCTTGTGGGAGGGTATGAGTGAATGTTATTAAAGTGAGAATGGGGAGTGAGTATGTATTTTGTTTGTTTGTGGGCATGTAAGAGAGCGTAAGTTTCAGCCCGTGTGAGTGCATGGAGAGGGAGATGTAGTACGACTGTGTTTATTTGTGTGTATGATTGAGTGTGAGCATGAGCATTTGAGAACGAAAGAGAGTGAGTGAGTAAATTTTTGATGTATGTGTATATGTATATATACCGGTATGTATGTGAAAAGAGTGAGCATTCGTGTGCGTGAGTGTGATGTAAGTGAATAACAGTTTGTATGAGTGTAGTTCGATAAGAAGGTTAGAACATAATGAAGTATAATTTTCAGTCGTTAATAAGATGTTTATAATCGTATAAAATTAATATAACATTATTTATATTAATTAATTATTCTTTATTGAGATCTGAAGATGATGTCAGTAAAGATCGAAACGTTGGCACGATAGAGAAAATGTTTTTCTAAAACCTACATCACACCAGACCGCATCTCTCGATCTCCAAGTAATCATTAACTAATAGTCACTAAACACCGCACATTTATACATGAGAGATTATTCACCTCCGGTTGGGTGTCGCGAACTAGGGGGTCAAACGAATGTTAATTAAAATACCATAGGCTGTGTCAGGATTCGAACCCAGGACCGCTAGCGTCAAAAACACGAGTCGTACGCCCCAACCACTTGCCACCGCGGTTGGTTTCGTCTGTGGTTTTCTCACCTCTAACGGCATAAAACCCAAAGCTTATTGATAAAGACTCAAAGGAGACAAATACTGCTTTTCAAGGGTTGCAGTGACGTGGACATTGGATTAATATACATAAGAGTTAACGAAACACCAAACATTAGAGAAAAAAGTTTGAACCATGTGAAAATGTATAGTTTTTGTTTGCTAAAAAAATCGTATTTAAGGGCGTTAAAGGGTGATTAGGGAAAATCGGATTTTATTATAAAACAATTTTTTTTGGCATACTGTACTCTCGCCGTTCGTTTTTGTAATTTTTTTTTGTACTCAATCTGATTAATTATTACTCTGGATTCATTAGATTTCGTGTTCAATTGACCAAATAACATCTTTCAATTAATTAATCTTTATGTAAGGTATTGGTTGAGATAAAAAAAAGTCAGTGTCACGAGCGGGATTCGAACCCACGTCCTTCGGCTCAATACGCTGCTGCTCTACCACTTGAGCTGATAAGTGTTTCGAGCAGCGGCGTATTGAGCCGAAGGCCGTGGGTTCGAATCCAGCTCGTGTCACTGACTTTTTCATCTCAACCAAGACCTTACATAAAAAGAAAAAGTAATTGAAATAAGTAATTTGGTCAATTAGACCAGTAAACATAAATGGATTAGCATTTTATTTTTTTAACTGCGGTACCAAGTACAACCCAAAAATAGTTTAGATTTCAGAAGCATAAAAAGAATTTTTTTTTAAGAAAGGGATTGAAGATATTTAAGTAAATAATAATTACTTAGTACATTTTTTACTGGGACAACACTTTTTTTAAATAGTCATCTTTATCTGTGAATCAATAGCATTAAGCATTAATTGCTCGTATTATCGCTTAAAATTGCAGTCATTTTAGGCCTTACATTTTTTTTTATCTGTGTAAAACTAAAATCTTACATATCGGTATTTATTTATATTTTATTGCTTATTTTGGAAGCGTAATCATTGTTGAAAGAAAATTTCGTGTTCTACCACGTACACGTATGAACAAACCCAATTGTATAACATTATTTAAAATAAAATCTTGAAAATAATACTATCTCGAATAGTATTAATAGACCAAAAATGTAAATAGGAAGAGAAAGGTGTCCTTTTGAAATGATATGACAGGACAAGTTAGATCATCGATCCCAGTTTCAAAATCCACACAATTTTTTATTTCTACATATTTTATTTTCTACGATCCTTACTTTTTAAACGATTATAGAGTTTGCTTTTATAAAAAATAGGTCAATCTAATCGCTAGACACAAAATTAAACAAACTTGTATTTATTTAAAAAAAAAACAGATCGAAATCTAATGTGTATTATTATTTTATATATTTATATGTGTATGTGTGTGTCAGATAAAAGAAAATTAAATCATTGGATGATTTGCTAGATTGATTAATCATTAAATAATTCAAAAATGATCAATATGTAGATAAATAAATACAAATTTTGAAGGATTTTTCAGTATTCGTTGAGAAGATAAACAGATATACTAGTCGAATCTTTTTTTAAGGATTTCTGGAGAATTAAAGAAGTATTTAGAGTTACAAACGATGTGAATATTTGTCTTATTTGTCCTGGTTATGTTAAATTTATATTCAGAACGATAAGAACTGCAACCGTAGTACTCTACTTATGAAATCATCATAGAAAAGTATCCATAAATATTATTTTTGGTTCTGCAACACATGTTTATTTTTAATAATATCGGTCGTAGAGTAACGGCCGATATACGGCTTTTGTGTTACACTTTCGCCTTCGATGGCCTCGTCCTAAAGCCGAACAAGACTCTTGCGCAACGAGCAGCCGCCCATTCACCTGCCCGCCAAACGACTGTCATTGACTCGGTTGAACGCCACAAATGATAAACCGGGTTTTCAAATCCTAATTGGTTGATTTTCCTTTGGGGGAAAAGTGAAACTGTTCAATTTTACAAAAAGCTTTTCTTTCGTCAAGCGGTTTCGAACTCGGCTTGGTTTAATTTCTCCCGCGACCAAGAAAGTCCTGGGTGTCTGGTCCATATGACCTTAACGTCTGGTCTTTATCAGATTTCTATACGAGAATCTACTTTCATAGTCACTTCTTGGAAATCATTTCTTACAAAATTCATAAAAATTCTCTTCATATTATTCTTTATACTAGGATATCTTTGTTTGTTGATTTTATTCTCTCATTTCTCACGTCTCACAAAACTTTGTATAGTTTAAAAATGATTCTTTGTATTCACTTCATTAAAAAAATTAAATATATCCCAACATCACGTGAACTTATGAAAATACTATGGTAGCGTTAATTTATTCAAGAGGTCCTGATAAAAATCTTTCATTTAATTACCAAATAAACATAAGAATAAAATAAATACAAGTGTAATTAGTATTATGTTAATAATAAT